TCTTCCTCTGTTACTCCGGTTTCGCTGCTGGTTCTTCGTTTCGCAATTTTGCGCGACACCGCACAATCCTCCCTCCTTTCTCGCGCAACACTAATGTGAATAACACTGAGACTTTAAAACACTCTTCGACTTGATTCTCCTTATGTGTGTCACGATTCTCTCGTTGGAGAAAAATCTAGATGATTACGATGAATCCGAGTGATATCCACTGAAAGCACAAATACGTGTCGGTCGATGTGTCGCTGACTTATAATTCGTTCACGCCGGAAATGACAATTGTTCCTGTCTTTTTTCAACGACCGACATGCACGCATCTTACTCCCGGCTTTATCACCGGCTTGACGCCGGGCTTAGGAAGGAAGCTCGTTGTCGCCGTGATCGCGTGCGGAACATTAAGCGGCAATGTGCTAAAGAAGGTAAGATTGATAGGATTGCGGGATTCGAATTTCTCTCCTGCAATATTTTACTTTTAAACGTTAAACTTGAAACTACGTATATGCAGTTTGTTCTTTTAAAGAGATGTTAATAGACAAACAAAGTCAGTTAGAGCATTTAACAGTTCAAGCTGAGTTTACTTTGGTCTGATAACCTATGAGGAACATTACGCGCGTGTAATTTCATCATCAAGAACTCATAACTTGCGTTGCGAAGGGTGAGCATCTAAGCATTGAATCTCGCGTAATCAAGAAAGTTCAGAAAATTATTTTATTACTTCGTCCATTCGATCATGAAAGTTATAAGATTAGCAAATTTGCATTTCGCTTCATTTTGAGAGACTTACGACTAAGTTCGTGTTTGTAACTTGATAGTTTATGTTATTACAAACAGAGAAGAAGATAACTGTCCCTTGAACTGGAAAACTAACTTTCTCGAAATAAATAACTAGATTCTGGTCTTCCTCCGTTGCCTGTTTCTTCGTAATTGTTATGTTAATTTCGAAGTAATTAACTGTAGTTACACAGCAAGGGAATTAAAAAAAAATGTTAGTGGCCGGGAATCTTTATTTAGCTTAGTCTCGTTTTTTTTTTATATTTCGCCAATAAAGTGAACATTTCACTTTATATCTTTGCCCCATCTGACGATTATACAAAGGAAAGTTATCCATGGAAAGTTTTTTGAGATGTACTACCCACATTTCGAGTATATTGCTTTTTACTGATTTAGAAAAATACACAGCATTCAAAAGCTTGCTACGTTAAAAAGAAATACTATCTTGAATTAAATAGTCGTAGTGTATTGATTGGGCGTATATTTATTGAAGTAGTATTATATAGTGCGACTACGTTGATATATCATATCAAATTGCACGAAATTTTTTACATTTTATATGTACAAATTCGTTACAAAAATTACTGATGTATTATTATTTATTTTTTATAACTTTGAAAATTTACCATTCATCACAAAAAAAAAGCGTAAAATATTTTTTTCCGCAATTATTGGCTACTCGTCCGCAATATCAATTTCTGAAACGCATAACTGTAGAATTACATTACGTTTGATTGAAAAACTCGCCGGAAGCTAGTTGACTATAAGGGGTAAAGATATATAGCCATGTTACAACAAGAGATTCTCATAGCACTTTGAAATTGCCTTGCCGAGCTTTATTTTGCGTAAACTACGTGAATCCGGGAAGCCTATCATCTGTTTGCTTAATATATCGATTCTTGCCGATACAATTGACCAATATTTTTTCCGATATATATAAAATAAAATACTATAATATTCGTTATAAATAAAATTTATTTTTATTGTTCTTCTCTGCTCAGATCGGAATTTTGAATACCAATCGTGCAAAATTTTTAATCAATACACAGAGCGTCAAACGTTATTTATAAATAATATATCCAGCGCGTCATTAATAAATCTTTTATTAATGTGCAAATTAATAATAAAACGGTTAAAAAATTTTTATAAAAAAAAAACATTAGCAATTCATGAGAGCTGGTCGTATATCGAATTTCAATCTTTAAGCTCAACTTTAATCATAAATGAAACGATAATCAATTTCGACATGTATATATTATCGAGACAGAAGGGAGAATACTTTGTTCTTTTTGTTTCTTTACATTAAAAAAGAAAAATATCCGAAAAGGAGAATGCGCTCACGTATCGTTGACGCACTAACAAATTTCCATGCGAAAGAGTTTTCACGCCTGTCCGCGAGTTCTCACGCGAGTTTCCGAGACGGAAGAGGCTCGCGTTCGTTTTCACGCGAGAGAAACACGCCGCCGCGTGGGGTACACGCTTCTCACTCCCCGGGTCCCTTCGATCAACACACGCTATCCCGCAGTGCGGGGTAGAAAAACCTGTTTTTCTACCCCGTACGTAGCGACGCACGCACGCGCGCGCACGCACCGTCGACGAAGACGACGCATCGTCGTCGGGAGTTCACGCGCACGGGAAAGCCTCCTCCACGCCTTAAAATCCTAAGCGTCGGGCGTGTTGGAGCGAGGAGCGCCGATTATACGGGACGAGCGAGAGGCCGTTCACTCCGCGCCTTCGTCGGACTGTCGTTGACGCGAGTAGTAGCGTCGCTCGGGTTGCCGGCGACGGCGGGACGCCACTCGACGGCGACGGCGACGCCGGCACTTCCTCGCTACCATTATCCACACCTCGTCACAGGGTCCCTTCACAGGGGAAGCCGGGCACGCGCGTCCCGTGCCGTATATTCGGGGGGAAAAACACACAGAGCGGCTGCGGCTGAGGCGGCTATACGGCGTGGCGACGCCAGGCGAAACGAAACGACGCCGAGGCGACGTGGCGCGACGCTGCAAGTAGAAACGGATCGACGAGGGCGGCCGCCTTTTACGGGTGTTACGACGGTGTACGCGCGCAGCGGGAAGGCCGTGTAGGCCGTGTTAAGCACGGCACTCGCTACTGCCGGCTGGTACAACGTGTACCTCCGCTACTAACCTAGCGTGCCCGTCCTCTCGCGTCGCTTCGTCTCTCGCCTCTCTCTCGCCAAGACTCCTTCCCACCACTTCTGTACAACCCCCGCGGACCCTCTCGCCACGACTACCTGGCCAAACCCACCCTCCCCGCGACCCCGTATTCTCTACGCCACCGCGCCGATCAACCCCTAGAGCGCACGAACCACCACCCCTGCCGAGACGCCACTGCGCATGGCGCAGTGCTGTGTTTTCCCCGCACGACTCCCGGACGAAAAAGGATTTTCTCCCTTTGCGGACGTTAAACTTATCCCTTCTTTTTTGCCTTTTTAAATAACTTGACGTTAAACCTTGACGTTATCCTTAAGCTGATAAAGTTATTTATGTGTACGTACAATGGAATGCCATGAGATTTATAAAGGAAGGACAGGTCGATATATCTGAATTACGATTTAAAATCTTTTTGCACAATTACTCCGCTGACTTTTTGGCCTTGTGTCTTTCTTATTTGTTTATATTATGTTTGTCCATTCATTAAAATACGATGTTAGAGGCGCCTCTGCATCTGTGGGAAATCTACCCCCTCGGAGATTCATAGTGCTACATTAAGAATGTTAAAGCAGAGAAACTATGCATTCAACCTCGTAGAATTTTCATGATTCTGCCATGTATCGCATATGATGAATAAGTATTACACACATTGGATGAAATGAAACACCTCCTTCAGTTTTTATACCCTCAAAACGAAAAAGACGAATAACGTTATCAAAACTACATCACAATGTTTTGCGTCGTTAGCGTGTCGCAACGACGATATATCGATCGAGACGGTGCGCAAAATTGCGCACGCCGCATCGGCGCGACGATTTATGAGGGATGAAAAAGCTGTACAAAACGCGAGAACACAAAAGCGGGGGTGCAAAGGTCTATTCTTTGTGGGGGGGAAACTTATCAGTCATACCCGTTTATTTACATATTTTCCGGATCACCTAGAGAAACGGTTGGCGCGGATCTCAGGAGAAATTATATTCCTCGCGTGTAGGAACGGAATGGCGGCGACACGTTCGCCAAAAGGAAGCGCAAAGTACGATGACACGCACGGCGCCGCCACGCGGCAGTATTCAACCAGTGGCGGCGGAATGGTGGATGTTGACCTACGAACCAGCCAACCAGGTAACCCGAATGAATCCTGGTGACTTGGTGACCGATCTGCCGCAATTCGCCGGCGAGGCCGGAGGCTGCCGTCTGAACTCTAGCGCCCCTGGGGAGACCTAGGTGGATTTGATGGTGAAGATACAAGGTGCGTCGGACGGAAGAACCAGACGGCGGAGTGCTGGACGATGCACGAGGGACGGTCGTGTTTGTACGCCGAGAGGAAGAAGAAGAAGAAAATGGGAAGCGAGAAGAGAAATGAGGGGGAAAGATAGAGAGAGAGAGAGGGGGCAGAAAGGCAGAAAGGCAGAAAGGAAAGGTCGTGGTGGTCAGAGAGAGATGGCACACACGGTAGCAGCCACCACGTCGTATACCAACGCCACTTCATATTGATTTTCCGGGAGAGGGGTGGAGAAAAGGGGCTGGAATGGTGGAGGAGAGAGAAAGCGTGAGACAGAGAAACGGGAGAGAGAAGGTGGAGGAACGTCCAAGGTGGAAAGACGGAGAGAGAAGCTGAGAGGCAGAAAGGGATGGAGCGACCGGTTCTTCGTCGTTAACCACCGTGGCTAACCCCTAAGGTTGAGTCCGGGGAAAATGGCGGGCCGGGCCGTGCATCGGTACAGCATAAAATACGTATGCGCTTTACCGAAGAGGCATCGCACGCGCACAACTCTGAGGACAAAAACTAGAAACAAAATCCAAATCCAAATCTAAGAAAAATGAACAGATAGAAAGGGATTTGCATTCATGTAAATAATTTAAATAGCAGCAAATATCTAATGTTTACATCCAAAAGTTTACGTTATTTTTCTGAAAAATAGTATTACGCTGTGAAGTGAATGTATGTACTGTTCTATCTTTATATATATTGGGATAAATATAGATGCATCGATATATCTCAATATTTTATACAATCACACTTTTGAGCTTTAACCTTTAAGTGGATAGATGGAATGATCACAGCACCAAAGTATAGTTTTCGTTAAAACCTTGTTCTAAAAAGAACAATAAAACGTATCGCCTAAAAAAATGCTCAAAAGTCTTAAAGTTAATTATTTTTATATTCTTCTATTTTATAAAGGTGTAACTAATGTAAATTTAACTACAACATAATATACTGTTAAAAAACATAACTATTTATTTATTAGAAAATTAAAATATTTTTTAGAATATTTTCAGCACTCTATCTATCAATTTGCATATCTTTAATTTGGGAATAGTCACTTGGAATATTTATATACCTCAGTGATAAAAAATGTAAATTGTAAAATATTGTTTTATATGGATTTTATTTAACATATTTTTTGAATAATAAAGTATAGTTATTTACGGTGCAATTATTTGTATGCAATTGAAAATCCGCAATAAAAAGCATTATACTAATTACAATCTTTATTTTCTAAAAATAATAATGTCATTATGGGTTACATAATGCATTTATTCCGTTTAATATTTGTTCAGTTTTTACTTAACTTTCTTTAGAAAATTGTAATTAAATACGTATTCATAACGTTCAGAAATACTAATAAATCAGAAAACAATCAATAACATACGATATATTATCAATAATTGTGATTTTAATTGAAGTATAAAAACATTCTAGGTGATCATTTACTTAAAAAAAAAGTGACTATTCCTGAATTAAATTATATCTGCCTATTATATTTATATATAAAAAATTACAGATTAAATTACAGATTAAATTATAAAACGCACTGTATCAGAAATTATAAAGTAACGTTTAATTCTTTAATTTTTTATCTTAAAATGTGCAAAAACTTAATTTATAATATTTATTTTTTTCAGACAAAAATATCTGTTTATCTTTTAAATCAACAAAATAATGTATTTTGTATTGATCGAAACGAAAAAAGAAAAAACATAATACTCCTAATATTTTATTACTTCTATTTTTCTCTGTCTTCCAATCCATATACGTATATCAATTATGTGAATAAATCTAGTAATGAAAATGAAGATCGAACAAAAAAGAAATAATACTTCTTTAGCACATTTGATAATTTCTTAAAATGTATGAAAAGAGCAAATTAACGCTTTCGCACATAACTAAAATGTAAAATTTTTTTAAACCTTTGTTTTTATCGTCGCTTGTTCATTAATTTGTACACAATAGTTAAGCGACACATTATTACGAATTCTAGCAACGGAAACGTTATGCTTCGATATCCCTTGCGTTTGCATATATAACTCTAATCTGAAGACACTCCAACACGTATTAATCTGGTCATTCATAACAGTTAGAAGCTATTTTGTCCTGACAATAATGGGAAGCTTGTTAACCAATTCCACAGTCATACATGCGTGTCTGTATGGATCACTATCAAAATTAAGTGATGATCTCATTCCCATATGTAAGCCACAGTCATCTTTCTTGTGAGAATGATTCAATGGCTCGGTTCTCGCCTCTCCAGAATGATTAAAACCATGCGATAACGTTTATAATTATAAATATTTAAATAGTGCGTATTATCTAACACGAAAATCACCCCTCATTTCATTACACTAATGATTATTATCGTCATTAATTAGTTCTTTGCGTTAAATAACAGAAAAAATATATTCATATATTATATATATA